CATTCCTGCATCCTTCTGCTCTGGATGCATCTCCACAGCTGGGGGCACGGGGGGTCCTGCGGTGCATTTAGTCGTGGCACAGGTGTCTGTGGCTACCAGCACCCCCCAGAAACCCCTCAGCTGCCAAAATGCCTGAAATGTCTGGAAAGAAGAGATGGATTAAACAATCAGGTTTCCTTCATGAAACGTTTTGCCCCGGGAGATTTGGAGGAGGTTCCCATCATCCCCACAGCCATCCCGGGTGGCTGCCCTGGTGTGACACACGCGGCATCGCATGGTCTGAGCTGGTGGGCACCGTCCTCCCAGGGTCTGTTTGCTGCTGCTGGATGGGATGAGTCAGGCCTGGCCATGAAAAATGCCACTCTCTGATGATGGGTTTAGATGTTTCCCGAAGTTACAGCCTCAAAATTATTTCTATATGTATTTCTATATATGGAGAGGACCAACTGGTTAAAGGTTATGCTCTCAGACACTTTGTCAGCCTTTCCAGCAGGACTTCATTTCTCCTTGCTCTCTCATTTTATTGTTCTTCTGCCTTTCTTGAACTCTGAGCTTGCTAACATCACTCCAGTTGCTCTGGTCCTGTTCTGTTCCTGCTCCATTGCCCCAAGCCCAACACGGGGACCGGGTGCTCACCTCCTTAACAAACCCTTGGGAATGAAAGAGTCCGCAGGAAATGTTCTCTCCTCTTTGTTTCCGTCCTGCAGAGCAAAAACCAGCCCCATCGCCGGGGAGAGTACAATGTCTACAGCACCTTCCAGAGCCACGAGCCGGAGTTCGATTACCTGAAGAGTCTGGAGATCGAGGAGAAGATCAACAAGATCCGATGGCTCCCGCAGCAGAACGCAGCCTATTTCCTGCTCTCCACCAACGGTATGTGGCCACCAGCACTGCTGCTCATCCCACCCAGGATCCCAGGATCCTGCAGCTAGGCAGGGTCTTCCCTGTGGTGGTTCTTCAGGAAAAACACACCTTAAAAAAAATGTCAACTCAGGGTGACATGGGTGTCACAGGGAGCAAGGACCTGGCCAGGACTGCCTGGCAGAGCTTCGTGCCCATGCATGTTTGTCCTTGTTTTACAGCATTTGTTCCCTGCCAATTCCTCTTCCTCCTGATGACCACCTTAAAAAATTGTATGTATTTTTTTTTAATCTTGGGGACCTTTTTCTAAAGAAAAACTGCAGCTGATTTGTTTCAATTTGCAGCTACATTCAGCTCAGCAAATCCATGTTATGTCAAATAAATATCAGGAGGATCCAGGAATATTACTTGGGATGAATGGGATCTTAAGATGGATGTGACTTAATTACTTCAGGGGAAAAGGAGGGGTCTAATTATCTTCCATAACCAACTTACTTTGTATCATAGAATTTACTCTATTGATCATTGTAATAAAATTCAAAGACTTATTAAACTCATTTGGGGGGAGAATCATTGAAATGCAATGAAGATTAATTATAGAGCATAATGTTCTGTTAATTGAGTTTTTAAATAGTTTTTTGATTAACAAGGATGCTATCTTTCCTTTTGGGATGGTGTTTCATGTACTAGCAGGTTACCAAAATGATTCTTTTAGAAGTGCTCCTGTGCTATGCTGTTTCTTTCTGTCCTTATGGTTAAACTAACATTATATATAGAAACCCCCTGAAGTGAAGCAGGTTAATAAAAACAAAATTAATGGCACTCTATTGGAATTGCCACATAAAGGAGAAAATGAAGATGGATGATACGGTTGTGTATGAGACCCTGTGGAAGTGATGATAAACTACTGATAGAGTCTGCCAGGAGAGAGGGAAGAAAACAGCAGCACTTCAGAGTAAAACCACGTTCCCCAGGCCCCTCCCGGGGGTTCCTGGCACAGGGAGACCTGTAGCCCCCCCAGCAAGGGGCAGGCAGGGTGGGCTGCCCCCCCCC